TACTACTACTACTACTACTACTACTACTACTACTACTACTACTACTACGACTACTACTGCTACTACTACTACTACTACTACTACTACTGCTACTACTGCTACTACTAGTACTACCACTACTAATCCCACCAGCCCTTTGGGCGTGAGTGGTTTAGCGAGCTCTCTCTGTTCTCAACCCCCTTTTTTCCCCTTCGGGGAGGGGTTTACCCCTCCCCCTACCACCTCCCCCTGGGCCTGGAGAGGGCGTTTCGCGGGTCGTTGGAGGGGTCTTTTTCGACTCCTGGGAAGCCCCTGGGGCCGCAAAGAGGCTCCCAAGACGCCCCAAAAGGCCTCCAAGAGGCTCCCAAAAGACATCTACTACTACTACTACTACTATTACTACCACTACTACTACTACTACTACTACTACTACTACTACTACTACTACTACTACTACTACTATCTACTACTACTACTACTACTACTACTACTACGACGACGACGACGACGACGACGACGACGGACTACTTAAATAACTACTAGATACTACTTACTACTTACTTACTGTTTCGTTTTATAATTCTTTTTTTTCTAGTTTTTGTTATACACTACTACCTGCTACTTACTGACTAGTTGTTTACTGCTACTATTACTACAACTAATACTACTAGTTTTCTAGTCGACTACTACTACTACATATACTACTACTACTACTACGAACTTACTACTACTACACTACTCCCACCCCCCACTTACTACTACTACTACTACTACTACTACTACTACTACTACTTCTAGTTCTACTAGACATTACACTAATTACTACTATTACTACGACTACTACTTACTACTACTACTACTACTATACTACTATCTTACTGCTGCTGCTTTGTTTTTATCTGGTTTTGTGTGATTTTTGGGTTGTCAAGGTGGTTTTCTTCCGTCTTTTGACTACTGACTACTACTTACTACTTACTACTACTACTACTACTACTACTACTACTACTACTACTACTACTACTACTACTACTACTACTACTACTACTACTACTACTACTACTACTACTACTACTACTACTACTACTACTACTATTCCTACTACGAGGGGCCCGAACGACTCGCACCAGGACGAGGTGCCCGAACGCCTCACACCACGAGGAGCCGAACGACTCACACCAGGACGAGGGGCCCGAACGACTCACACCACGAAGAGCCCGAACGACTCACACCAAGAGGAGGAGCCCGAACGACTCACACCAGGACGAGGCGCCCGAACGACTCACACCACGAGGAGCCCGAACGACTCACACCAGGACGAGGGCCCCGAACGACTCACACCACGAGGAGCCCGAACGACTCACACCAGGACGAAGAGCCCGAACGACTCACACCAGGAAGAAGGGCCCGAACGACTCACACCAGGACGAGAGGCCCGAACGACTCGAACCACGAGAAGCCCAAACGGCTCACACCAGGACGAGGGGCCGAACGACTCACACCACGAGGAGCCCGAACGACTCACACCAGGAAGAGGGGCCCGAAGGACTCACACAAGGACGATGGGGTCGAACGACTCACACCACGAGGGGCCCCAACGACTCCCACCAGTCGTCGTCGTCGTCGTCGTCGTCGTCGTCGTCGTCGTCGTCGTCGTCGCCGCCGCCTTCGTCGTCGTCGTCGTCGACGTCGTCGTCGTCGTCGTCGCGGTTGTGGTCGTCGTCGTCGTTGCGGTCGATATCGTCGTCGTCGTCGGGTGCGTCGTCGTTGTTAGGATCATCGCTGTGGTCGTCGTCTCCGCTAAATCCCTCTTGCCTCCCACCCCTTTCTCTCCCTCCTCCTCCGCCAGGTCCTTCTCCCGCTCCCACCACAAGGAGGATGTACAAGGAGGCGGGAGGAAGGAGGAACAGGGGAGATATGCGGGGGCAAGCGGACACACGCCTGAAAAACACGACTGTCGGCATGCTTCGCAAGAGTTGCTGTTTTGAGATGGGCTGGTGGGGATACGCGAAGCGTGAAGAATTCGGATACAACGATCCGCGGCCCATGCCGACCCCCCTCGCACAACAGACGCTCCCCCGTGCCCCCCCCCCCCTCCGTTCGGCACCTCACTGAACTGGATGCCGTAGGACCTAAGTGCGTATCGAAGACATGCACCAAAAAACAAAAACATGCACCGCGCTTGTACAGGCTTGAGGATCAGGCCGTTGCTCGTTTGCTCATCTGCTCCCTTGCGGAGCATAGGCGCGTCGCGTTATGGCATGGGGTTCGAGACGAGCCGAACAAGGTCTTGTGAAGCTGACTCCGCCACTTACGAAGTTTACGCATGCATCTGAACAGAAATCTGATACAACGCTCCGCGCCATCCGACCCCCCTCGCACAACAGACGCTCCCCCGTGCCCCACCCCCCCCCCCTCCGTTCCTCGGGCACACGAGGCGAGCGAGAACTGTGGGGGATCCGCGCAGCCACGCAGCTTGATGGCGTAGTGTTGTCCTTACTTGTCCCTCGATATCTACATGGCA